TGGAAGGGACATTTGGTGCCTATGTGAAGGCTAGATACATTCTGGACTTAGATCTCCTCCTATATCTTCAGGTTTGTTCTTTTATACCCAGCCCTAATACTCCCCCCAAGACTTCCCTGTTCTCTGTGTCTTACATTCTCAGTCATAATTTTATTTACTTATTTTCTGAGGACTGCTTTTGGATCACAGCACTTTATTCCACACCACCCAGATATCTTGACTTCTTTGTGGGAAGCCTGGCTTCATGAGACATGTGCAATCCACAGGGCCCTGCATGCAGAAGAGCCTCGTACTTTGCTTAATGCTTTTTGTTTTTTATGCTCATATTATTAATAATTTAAAAATATTTAAATTTATTATTATTATTATTATTATTAATGTGAGTGCATGATATATATGTATGTGACGGGGATGTGTGTATGTGTGTGTGTGTGTGTAAAGGTGCATGTCATGACACTATGTGAATGTCAAAGAACAACTTTGTAGAGTTAGTTCTCACTATTCACCTTTCCATGCGTTCAGGGACTGGTTGCCAGGCTAGCCCATCAAACACTTTTACCCACCAACCATCAGATTCAAATCTCAGCAAGTCTTGAACATGGGCCTCATATTTTAATTTTTCTCTGGATTTTACAAATCCAACAGCCAGTCCTGTTTGAGACTCTGTATTGCACTCTTAGAAGCAAGAAAGCAATCTTTTTCCTTCCTTTCCACTCTCAACTTCCCTCTTCTCCAAAAATGTAGAGAAAATTAATTTGCTTGAACAGAACTGGAGGACAGAGAATGTTAAAATTTAGATATATATTTTCCTGAAACCTATACATGATTAATCCACTGTTGCTGTTTCACAGTGGTATGAGTTTGCACGGTAACAGTGAAACACTTTTGTGCCTTCTGCTTGAGACAGCATTGTCTCTTTCTGGTAATTTGTAGTAGTTTGAATAGAAATAGCCCTCATAGACCCATAGGGAGTAGCACTATTAGGAAGCATGGACTTGTTGGAGTAGGTGTGGCCTGGTTGGAGGAAGTGTGTCACTGGGGGTGGGTTTTGAGGTCTCAGATGTTCAATCCCTGCCCAGTGTGGCATTCTCTTCATGCTGCCTGTGGATCCAGATGTAGAATACTCAGGTTCTTTCCAGCACCATGTCTGTCTGCCTGCCTGCCACCGTGTTTCTCACCATGCCAATAGTGGACTAAGTCTCTGAACTATAAGCCAGCCTCAGTTAAATGTTTTCCTTTATAAAAGTTGCTACGGTCATAGTGTCTCTTCACAGCAATAGAGACCCTAACAAAAGCACAATTTGTCTGTGAAGTCTGTCCTTCCTCTTTTATACAGTACCCATTCAGGATGGGCTGAGCTAGGAGGAGCATATCAACGCTTTCAGACCACCCCCATTCCAGAGCCTCTTCATTGATTAGCCCATCAAGGTGTTTGATATAGCCCAAAACCCATATACTGATAAGTCAAAATTGATATATTTGATGTGACTGTTCAAGAAACTGGATATGGAATTCATGCTGTAAATCTCATGGCCTGTACAGTTAGGCTCCAGCAATGCAATCTTAGTTGAATTCTGGTTTTAATCATCGGAACTTATCTAAACCCTTCAAATGGAAAACCACCATAAGGAAACAGCAACAACAGCAAAGAAAAACAAACATCAAGAGCAAAATAAAGTCCTGTTGTTCATGAGACTAATGTTTCAGGGTGAATTTAGTTTTAATCCATTAACTACATTTGCTCCGTCTGATGAACAAGCAACATGTGATGCTTCCTACATGTTACTTTACTTCATCCTCAAAGCAATGTTACTTATGAGATCGTACTCTTTCCTGTCGCTGATAGAAGAAATTAAGCAAGTACCACGCTTGAAGTCATATAGCCATTAGTTATTACAGATGAGGTTTGAATCTGAACACTTAACCTTCAGCTTCCTCTAGTGAGGTGGTTCTCAACTTTCCTAATGCTGCAACCCTTTAATCCCTTCATATTTTGAAGCATTATTTCATTGCTACTTCATAACTGTAATTTTGCTACTGTTCTCAATCATAATGCAAATATCTGATATGCAGGATGTGACCCTCATAGGGATTGCAATCCAGAGGCTGAGAACCACTGCTCTAGCGTCTCATGGAACACTGGTCATGCAATCAACGCCAGTAGGACTAACCAGGGGTTTGGGCCAGGAACCTGGAAGCTGTCAGGAAGCAGGGATCTATTCTCTTGTGTATATTTCCTATTTACTTTTGCTTCTATTCCCATCTGTTTTCATAATGACGTTTTCAACTTCTTGTTGATTGTAGATGAAGATGCCCCTTTCCTGATGATTACTTCAGATTTTATCTGAACATCAAAATAATCAGAAAATAAGATAGGAGTTTGAATTTCATCTTTAAATTCTCAATGTATAAGGACCACTGTTTTGAGTGTCTACTCCTTGTCAGCATGTCAGAGGAAGGGGATTTCTGTAATATACACAAGACTTCTGGGGACGACCCATAATTTGGTTAAATGTTTCTACATTTAACCTGTGTCATAGATGTAATGTAGACAAGGCATATGGAGATATCTACCACATCTACCTCTCTGTTGGTATTGTGCCGTGGGAAAACACTAATAAACCTAAGGCTTTATGGGTCAGGGAACTGATACCTTCTGAACTATTTCTTGCCCTCACAAAATTCACTTGTTTTTGATACTGCCCATGTGACTGAATTGGGACACAGGTTCATTAAAATTAAATAAGTTCATAGACTTGGGTCCCTAATCCAGTAGAACTGATTTTTTAAAACAAAACAAAACAAACAAAACAAAACAAAACAAAACAGATAGAGATACCAGCTCTGTGCTCACAAAAGGACAATGGCATTTGAAGCCACACAGAAGATAAAGAGGGCACTCCAGTTGACTGGCACTTCAATCTGGGACTTTCAGACCTCAAGTATATGAAATGTTTCTCTCTCTTTCTCACTCCTTCATGTTAATTTCCATTGTTCAAGCCACCTATTCTTTGGTGTTTTGTTATGGCAGGCTTAGCAAACTAAGTCATCATGCCTGCTCCTGCGCCATGATTTACAAAAGAGGAACACATCAAATAATTCTCATAGATTTGTCTAAGTCTAGATTCATGGACCGGTGGTGTGTGTGGCATGGATAACATGTACCAGCTGTATCAATGAAAAGGAATTCATATTCTTTGAGAGCCACAACACAATTTTCCCATTAAAAATATATTTTGTTAAGAAGTAAAGGAGACCCATTCTGTGATCTGACTTTACTATATTTCATCTCCCAATCATGTCACATCTGTTAATGAAGGCAGTTGATGTTAGGTATTAATATAATCATGCATATATGAATTTCTAATCATAATTAACTCAAATTTTCTTTCTTATTCTGTGGTCCCAGCTGTGGTGTCTTCAGAGTTTTTATTTATTTTTTTACTTTTGCTTGCCCAATATCACTTTAAAACGGAGTCAATAGAATTGAATACACACTTATCAATACAGCTGGCCGACAATATTATTAACAATTAATTTTTACTAATGTAATGCACTAATGTATAGCCGAAGTTATTCTAGCATTTTGATAGTACATTTTTGGCAGTTGATCAGATATAATTTCCTTTGGAAGGTTCTCTCTTATCTTTCTACATAGATCCTGAGGCAGTGGTCTCTCTACCAGCATTGTAATGAATTGCTTACGAGTCATCTCCTTTCATTGGCTCTGAGCAACTGAAGCAAAGCAATGGTTCTTTTATATCTCTCTAAGTCTTTAGAAAATTTTATGTTTAAACTGGATAGAAAAAGCCTTTAAGTGAGCAGGGTGGAGACTTTCAGGGAGGGAGATACTTTAAAAGGTCAGGTCTATTTGTTTCAATCCCTAAGAGGGAAGATTAAGTGGGTAGTCCATGATTCCAGCATAATGCCCATAATAGAAAACCTATATTATAGAATGATCAGTGGTTCTCAACCTGTGGGTCACAACCATCGGAAAACATATATTTCCAATGGTCTTAAGAACCCCCAACTATAAATTTATTTTCATTGCTGCTTCATAACTAATTTTGCTATGGAGTGGTTTTTCAATTCCTACGACCATCAGAAATACGTGTTTTCTGAAGGTCGCGACTCACAGGTTGAGAACCACTGATGGCTAGCTGTTTTTTAGGGTTCAGGAAAACCTTCATAGATCAGATAAAATTTGATTTTAGCTTTGGGGAGGGTCAAGTCATTCCCCCCCCCACCCCTTTCTTCTTTCTTTTTGACAGAGTAGAAGGAAAACAAAATACTGTCTGAGGTGCCTAATCATTTTTCACTTCTTAGTTTACCCAAAGCTCCCCTTCCTTAAGGTTTTAATTCTCTCGTTGTAGCTGAAACTGACTTTTTCCCCCTGAGCAGAAAGCACTGCTTTCATTTTCTTAGCGAGGACATAACACGGCAGTAATGAACATACTACCTCATATTACATTTGTAGTTTGCCACTGAGGAGAGAAAGTGTTTCACTTGATAAACTTCTTTACTCCTCTCCAAGTCCTAAGCCTTTAGAATAAGACGTTAAAGCGATTTTTAATTCTTACTGTTGCCTATTATTTATTCTTTGATGCTTCCTAATGAGTAAAATTACACTCAGTGACACGGGACACTTGAATTCACTTTCTACCAGGAGTTTGAGGCTTCACAGGCTGCTGGCCCTTTAAAAAAAAAAAACAAAATTAGAGCGGGGCAAGAAGGCAGGGCTCCAGGTCTGTAAAGACCGCTTATCCAGTTTCTTCCGGGAAAGGCAAGTAGAGGCCCTGCTCAGAGCATGCTGGGACTTGCAGTTTATCTCCTGTCATTTCCTGTTATTTCTTGTCACATCTCCTGCTCTGGACCGTGTGATGGACTACAGCTCCCAGAGGGCCAAGCGGCGGCGGCGCGTCCTGTGCTCTAGCCGCGCCTGGGCGGCTAGTTCAAGTTGCCATAGCTGCGAGTCCCGGGTGAGCGGAGTCGGTTGCGAGGCAGCGTTGGGTCAGTTGCACCTTCGGGGTCGCTGGTCGCCGCGGGAGCCGGGTGGGGCCTCGGCGATGATCCGGCTTTAAGAACTTGGAGTCACCTTGGGTCTAAGGTACCTGCCCCTATCTGTTCTCTTGTCCTTTCTCTCATTCCCCCCCCCTGCAGAAATATTTGCGTCCCACTTCCCCTTGTCCTAGGGTGGAGACACAAGAGCTGCAGGGGTATGTGGGGCGGACGGGTATGTGGATACGGTGTTTGGTGACATGGGGGCCACGGCGTGTTTGCATCCCTCCGTAGGTCGTCCACGGTCAGGTCGGTCTGAATGTGCCGTGTCCTGGCTTTGGAGCAGCTTGCTGGAGGCTCCCTCCCAGATGCTTCAGGCTGTCTGACATTGGTTTGACTGCCCCAGGGGTGTAATTGGTGATTATATCTCTGTCCTCTAGTCACTTGAGTTTCCTCTGCTAAGTTAGGAGATGCCCGGGTGATTAGCAGCCCCCTTTTGAAATTAATTAGTAGAAATACCAAACTTTGAATGCCAGCCACGTTCCGTATTGGCTTAGTGGACTGGGTCTGTTAGGCAAAGCTAGATGTTGTGGCGTCCTTGTCAGGATTATGCAAAGCATTTGGCACAGTGCCTAGCACACAGCAAATTCTTAGTACTTCTTCCTAAAACTAATTGCATCTAACAGAAACAGCATACAAACCGTACAGGTGGTTTTTAAATTTTATAGTACCTGTATTAAAAGTAAAAGGAAACTTCTGAGATTAGTCTTAATCTATTTGGCACAGTACATTAAATACACTCTAGTGCATTTTGCTTCATGTAAATATACATGTAGTAAATATCAAACTTTTTTGTACACACACTTATTTATTTGTTTTTGAGGCAGAGTTCTGCTGTGTGGCACTGGTTGGCCTGGAACTCGCAGTGTAGCCCAGACAGGTCTAGACATTGCAGAGATTACCTGCCTCTGCCTCTACAGTAAAGGCTTTTGGCACTACCAGGGCTATAGTTTAGGTTTTTTGAAAATGGTACAGGATGTTCAGAATCTGGCATGTATTAATATTTTATATTCATAGTGTGTATCAATTTGAACTGGCCAGGTATCTAGAGTCATAGCTAAATAACTACTGCATCGGACAAGCAAGAGAGATGAACTTTGACAGCTGTAACTTGGTATAGAACAGTGGTTCTCAACCTGTGAGTCGCAACCCCACTGGGGATCAAATGACCCTTTCACAGGGTCACTTTAGACCATTGGAAAACACAGATATTGGAAGTACAGTTTGTGACTGTAGGAAACTTACAGGTTTGGAGTAGCAGCACAGATAATTTTATGGTTGGAGGATCAACCCATGATGTGAGGAACTATACTGAAGGGTAGTTACATTAGGAAGGTTGAGAACCACTGGTATAGAGAAATTTCTCTGTGCCTAGGACTCATCATGTGATGAAGCTTGCTGCTTTCCTTAGAAAAGTGTCTAGTAAACCTTTGCTTAACTGGCCGCTCTGAACATCTCCCAGTCTCTCATCGATTTTCTTTTCCCAGAATACCCTTCTTGGAATGGCCTATTGAAATCCATGGATAGCAGCTTTCTTAGATGATTTTTTCCTAAGGATCCTTACAGTTTTAGAAGTAGTCATAAAGTGTTGAGAACATTTCTACCCTTTGCAATTTCCTACAACCAAATATGTAATGCATTTATTTGTTTGTTTGTTTATCTGTCTGGCTTACCACCGTGAGAACTGATTAGCCTTATATAATACATCTTTAAAGGGATAGAGGCTGGCCTTAAGTTACAAATGAGCAAGCAAAATCAGAAAAGCATGTTAATGTTATTACTTAGGTTAGGCTCCCACCTGACAGATATACTCAGAATAAGTACTTTTGCCTAGACTTGGGGTACAACTCATGCCCTAGCATGACCGAGCAAGTCCAGTGATGCTGAGTTCTGGGCAGAAGATGCCACTTACTAGGGATTTGCAGGTTGGGCATCTGGGTACCACATGGGCTTCTGGATGACATAGGAGTGTATTTTCACTCCCCCTGGTATTCCCTAATCTATTCGTAGGGAAGATGAAGTCATTTTCATTAAAAATTGAAGTTACAGTTCTGTCTGCTACCTGTCTTGTTGGTTTGTAGGTGTTTTGCGGGAAGTGTAGAGGCAACCAAAAAGATCGTATACTCGAGTAGACCTCTTGCCCTGAACCTCATGAAGAAATGATAGGAGGCAGGCCCCCTGAGCTCAAAGGACGGCAACGCAGAGTTCTGGGAGTGCATTTTGTAAGTATGCTTTCTCTTCTGAGTTTAGCATCTGAGGAAATCGTTTACATTTATTGAATATTCAAAGTGGAAAAGGCCTTGCCAACAGTAGGAATTGGGCCGGGGGCAAGAAGCTCCCTTTTGATAGTAGTGTAAAATTAAACAGGGTAGCTGTACATGACACAGTAAAAAAAATCAGATGAACAAATAGGCGGACATACGCCTTCACCTCTACCAAAACCAACGGACTGGCTGCTTTTATTAAACAAATGTTTGGGAACCTGCTCTCTCCCGGAGAGGGCTTGAGGCTCCTTTCCCAGGCAATACACTCGGTTCTTTTTCACACTTAGCAGCATTTGTCAGATATGTGTTCGAGGTGCAGATAGACTCCTTGCTTAGAAATTCCCGAGCCAGAAGAGTGATCTTTATTTCCAGATTTTCCAATTCCAGATTCCCAGTCCTGCCCCACTGCACAAGGCCTCATGGCTATTTATAATTGTTCTCTAGTGGATTTGACTTACACTCAACATTTCTGGGTTGATCTTTTTAAATGTTTAAAGGATATTACTCTTTTCTTTTCTAAACACAATGAATGGTCTGTTGAGGTAAATAGCTATAATTTTCGGTTTCCATAAATTGATCATGTTTGTCACAAATTGTCATTCGTTATCAAAGATTTAGTGTTAAAGCTTAATTTTTGTCATAGAGTCAAAATTCTGGACTTTGAAAAGAGATGCCTTCTGTTGTATTTTGATGGTGAAAGACGCTGACATACAGGCATTCTAGGGCCTAGCGCTGAATTTTTAACCCAAGTCGTCTTATATGGAGTTAAAGAATTTTAGAGTTAGAAAGATATAAGTCTAGTAGGTTAATGCACTCTGGGAGCTCTATACAAATTGACACATTTGGAACACATATAAAAATGCTTTAGAATAGACTCACTGTTATGCCTTTAACAATGTTAGGGGGCTCAGACTGGTTTGAATATAGTCATACTCTTTATAGTCTGTTTTCCTATGTAACTATATATTGTTAAATGGTCACACGAAAAGCAGAGACAAGGTTTGCAATACAGTCCAGACTGACCTGGAGCTCAGGATCCCTGCCTTAGCCTCCCCAGTGCTAAGATTTAAGGTGTGTTTCACTTACCTGGGCCTGTTTTAACCATTATCTTTGTGACTTAGTGAGTAGATTTATTTAATGTATTCATCAGGGGATTTAGTTGTTTCTTATAATTCTTAAGTAAGATTCTTCTATATATATCTTATACATAAGTTGTAAACACATACACACACACACACACACACACACACACACAAACTTTTGTTTTCTTGAGACACTGATCATAGAAGCAGAATTTCTGAGTCAAAGTGTGTATTTACTTGTTCTGCCAAGTTATTCTCTAGAAAAGCTGCCCGTATATGTATAGATCGTCTACTTTTATTTATTTACTGTTGTGTGTAAGTGCAGGGGTGTGTGCTCCATGTGTGTGTAAGTGCAGGGGTGTGTGCTCCATGTGTGTGTAAGTGCAGGGGTGTGTGCTCCATGTGTGTGTAAGTGCAGGG